TTGAATTGGTCCTGACTTAGGTTGGGACTGTTCAAGTTGCACCCTATGTTTTGGTTCAATTAGAAAAATATGCTCAGGGTTGGATATCTTCCTAACAAAACCTATACACCCATGATACACATTATTAGGGAGGGGTGGAGGGAGGTGAGGGTTGGATAGGGCAGAGTAGGGTGGATATAAGTTCCATTAGCCGTACTAAATGGGAGGGTTGCCAAGTGCCCGTACTATTGACGAAAAAACTTTGGCTGTTTGGGCCAACAACTAAGAAAAGCCTTGCTGTTGTGAATATTTTTGGGAATGACATATTACCATAGAGTGGGATAAACCTTATTTCTGGCATAGAATCTTATTATTGGTTCCACAGCCAGTGGAACAGCCATTCCATTCATTTAGTATATGTTTGACATCAATGCTACAGACCTGTGGGTTGGAAGCAATGTTTTATAAGAAAAATGGTGTATTTTTTTATTTGGAAATGTTATTGCCAGGTAGGGCATTTCCTAGAGCAACAACAACACCTTCTATTTGGTACCAGTACTCCATATATGTTTTCAACACTCGTACTCATTATAGGAAGTCCCCATCACTACCACATCATGTCCTTGTTGGCACCAATAAGCTCAAATCTGAGAAAACGTCAAATTTGGCATTGCTCCAAACCATGCCTTCTCGTTTTCTAAGGTGTGGCTTGGAGCACCGTTTTTTATGAAAAAATAGTTTCAAACATATTGACGTTTCCTAAAGCACCATTTTTTCCAATGTGACACTGATGTGTCACCGTTTTTTGGAGCAACGACATTAATGCCATATAGATGCTTAATCCAAATTTGATGTTTTTAACACCACTTCCGTTTATCAAAAAAACAGTGCCATGTAAAGCGCTTCTATTTTTCCACGAAAAATATTGTTTAGTTACGTGGATCCCATCTGGATCTTACATGGTGAACGATGTCTTATCCATAATAGATTTAGGTCTTTTTCCTATTTGATTACCACCTTTGCCATACCGTGGATTTGGCATCAATTCACGATTAGGATTTATTCCACTCCTATGGTAGAGCTAAGATTTCTAGGAGTGGATTGAACAGTTAAAACCCCTAATATTAATACCTATTGAACTATTACATTTGTTCAGAATGTGCTAACACAGTGCATATGGTAGTTTTTCGCATATGATACATTGGACAAGGAAAAAATCAATCTGAGCCATAAATTAGTTCCTCGTTTATTTTCAGTTGTTGGATCTGAAATTTGATTACTAGTAGTATAAAAATTGCTTGTCATCAATCTGGACTCTTCGATTGTAATTAAGGGTATAGAGTGTATGGGTTATAGTTATACCATCAATGACAGATGCAGAATTAATTTTTCAACACATGAAAAACCGCAACAAAAACCCATAACCAAACAACATGGTAGGAGATACCACAACGTTTATCATCGACAAACAAGAACGGAAGCCATATCAAACACCATCAAAGTCATCAGCCAATGTTTGAATCCTTATAATTTGATTATATAGTATATTGCTATATTGCGGAATAGATTTCAAAATTTAAATCAAACCACTACAAGAAGTAAATAGATGATCTGCAAATAACAAATGCATTGCTAACTAGAATTTGATGGTCAATTGATGTCTCTCCGACAACTGATGCTGCTCAATCTGCTCTGGTCTCTGTTGGAGTGATGAATTAGGCAAGGCTGCGCGAGTTGTACTTGCGAGAAAGACGATGTCAGAAAGCCCGGGTCATGAGGTTCTGACGGTCAAGTTAGTACCAAATTAGGAGAGCCGAGAGCATATCGTTTGAGGGTGAGGAACTACCCTTATATAGGCTTCGGGAATGACCAGAACGTCTCTGACATATTTGGAGGTAATAGGCCTCAATCACTAGAATCTTAGGGAACATTCAGGAAAAGTCATTGAATCAATCGCTCGCCATTTTCCCAAGAAATGGGAGAGACTCATGTAACCGCCACTACATGGGACATGCGCCCCCCCCGAATATCAGTAAGGCATTAAATGTCATGAAAGGTACAAGTAGAGTGAATGATGCAGGTCGGTCTTCATGAGGCCAGATGACTCGTCAGATGCTTGGATTGCATAAACACTCTGAGGTGATGACCGACGTCAGAGGCTAGTCCTCCCCGAGCTATCTTCAATTGAGCTTGGGTACTTTGGTGTGGCATGAACTACCCTGTTGATAAACAATTTTCGAGGTGATGCCACATCAGGTTTCGAGGTGGTCAGAGGTGGCTTTGGACATCCACGTGGAAACAGATGAGTGGTGTCTGTGTTCCATTTTTGCACATCATTAATAATGAAAGTGGACTTCCACATGTTTTGTCCCCACCACTGAGTCCCCTATGATGTGTAACTATAAAATGACCTCGTATTAAGTACGGGGTAACTAAATGTGTATAATTTAGTTTGAAACTTACTATTTAGTTATCAAAAATTAATATGGGTCTTGCATCTTTGTAATTGACAATCTATTCTGACCTATTTTATTTGAAACCCACTATTAATTTATGTTTTTTAATTTGATTTAAGTTATTAAATGAGATCTTATTGGTAAACAATAACCCACTTTATTTGGTATTTACTATTTATCTAATAAACCTATTTTGACTTTTTTAATTTTAAAAGTTAAATTGCGTTTCTTCCTAAAAGTTAAATCAAGTTTGTAATTAATAAAGTATTTTTTTAAATCATTTAAAAAAATGTGGATTTATGGTAAATCTTTTAATGGGTCCCACTTTTTGAATCCTACTTCTTGAATTAATATGATGCCACATGTCTAAATGGTGATAGTGGGTTGTGAGCTTTAGTAGCAACTTCTTAGAAAATGCCATGGGTTTAGCTTTCTAGAAAAATGAGAAAGCTACATGTCTGAATGGTGGGGGGTAGGGGTGATCATTTCAGCCCGGCCCGGCCCGGAAATTCTAGGCTTGGGCTGGGTTTTGTGTTCAAGCCTGGCCCAAGCCCGGGCCCACATCAAGCCCGCAAATTTTAGGGCCGAACTTGGGCTTAATACTTCAAGCCTAGCTTGGCCCCAGCTCGGCCCGCATATATTTACACTTGTACATTTTGTGTATAATGTATACATGTTGTTTTACATTATATTATATATATAAATATTATAACATGACATGTATAATGTATAAAATAAGTTTATATGCATGTTATGTCATATAGACCTGGGCTAGGGCTTATGTTTTAGGCCCAGAACCCTGGGCCGGGCTGGGCCCGGGCCTAAGCTATAGCCCTTATCATAAGTGCAAAGCCCGGCCCGACCCGACCCATGATCACCCCTAGTGGGGGGGAGGGGGGTTGTAGCCTAGTAGTGGGTTGTGGGCTTTAGTAGGAATTTCTCAGAAAATTGCCACGTGTCTATCTTTTCAGAAAATGAAAAGGCGACTTGTTTAAATGGTGATGGTGGGTTGTGGGCTTTAACAACAACTTCTCAGAAAAGTGCCACGTGTCTAATGATAAGAGTGTAGCCGGAAGACCTTCCTTTATATATGTTAGATATATAAATCAAAAAACATTAAAAAAGATACTTGAGTTTGTTGTTTCAAAAAGTTATTCAATCAAGGTTGATTAGCAATAAACAAAAACAACTACCACATCATCAAAAATGTATACATATATACCCCATTCTATGGTGTATTGTGTACATAAGCATGAGTACAAAATGTAGATACATACATGAGATAAATTTTATTATAAAAAGCCAGGTAGACTCTACTTGGATAAGGCCGAGCTCAATCTGGTTTCAGTCTACCTTGAGGTCTCAAACCAAGGTCCAAGCTCAGTTCAGCTTGATGTTAAGCTTGAAATTAGGTTTGGGCCATTGGGCAATGCCAAAGTGTAAAATTTTAAGCTTAGTTTGTGCAGAAATTTAGATTGAATCCTATTGGGATTAGGTTGGGTCCGTCCAAGTTGCAGCCTTACCTGAAGTCCACATTCAGGATTGTTAATACGTGTGCAAATGGATTGGATCATGATCTGATCCGATCCAAGATCCGACACTATTTGGTCGAATTCTGATCATCCCTGTTAGGATTTTCAAATGAATAATATGATCCGATCAGAAATCGGATCGAATTCGGGTCATTCCCTATCCGATCCAAAAAGATTTGACCCAATATATAATATATTTATAAATACATATATGTTATTTATTTATTTATTTATACATATATTTTTATAAGTTTGTTATATTATTTATTTTTTAGAAAACATGTATATATATGACAAAAATAATTAAAAAATACTTGTATTATTTGTTTTTACTTTATTTAAATTAGTATATTTTATTTTTCTTTTAATAATTTATTAATTTTTAAAGAAAACAAGTTGGATTGGATCAAATTCGAAGATCCAACTTACCGATAGGGTTCAAATTCAAATCGAGCCCTATCGGATCTGATCGATTGGATCTGACTTGAACAATGTCGGATCGGATTTGAATATACCCTGATTCAAATCAGATCTGATCCATTTTGCACCCTAATTGTAAATGAATTGGTTTTACCAGATCAAACCGATTATATTGGACTTGGTTAAATGTAATTTTGTCCCGATTAATAATTAGGTCAATTTTAATTTTTGTTTGTTTTGAATTGATTAAGTCTTGATTTGATTATTGAGTCAATAATATAAAAGTTTTCTAGTTTTATTTTTTTATAATTTTATTATATTTTATGTCTAAAAGGGTAAATTTCATAAATAAAATATAAGATAATTTTGGTTAAAAGCATTTAATTTATTAACATATAAATAATCGGGACGGTTCTGAGCCTATTTTGTCCAGGTTTATAATCGATTCGGGACTGATACATTCTGTCCCGAATCAGACCCGACCCGTTGACAGCCCCATTATACATGTGTGGCAGTTGTTCCGGTTAATAATCGGTTCGGCGGGGCTGATATATGCATGTGTGGCAGCGGAATCTATCCCAACACGACCCAACCCGATGACAGTCCTATTTATGCATGTGTGGCAGCGGATCGATCCGAGTTAGAGGAGAAAGCACTACCAAACGCGGCCTTACAGCCTTATACCTGGCTTCAAGTTTAATAATCTCTGCAACTCTCTCCTCCCCTCTCTCTTCCTCTCGTGCGCTCTCTCTCTCTCTCTCTCTCGGCCTTGATCGATAAACCTAACTAGACCAGAATAAATTTATAGAAAAAGAAGAGAACACAAAGGATTTTTCCCTACAATTGTTCGATCGGGATCACGATGGTGCAGATTTCACCTTACACATTTTCGGCAATCGGAATTGCGATCTCAATCGGCGTTTCCGTTCTCGGTGCTGCTTGGTACGAACCAATTTCGTTATTCTTATCACGGTCATTATTATTCAGGAAAAAATAATGAATTTTTGTTGTTTTTGACTGATTTTATATGAGACTTAAATTTGTATTAAAATTTAGGGGAATTTATATAACGGGAAGTAGTTTGATTGGCGCTGCAATCAAAGCTCCACGCATCACTTCGAAGAATCTCATCAGGTAAATGCTTGAATTTAGGCCTTAAATAGCTAAATAAACAGAAATGTCTGTTTGTTGACTGACATGATTTGTATGTTTGTGTTGTTTTCCTCTTGAATTAGATTGATTTTGGGTGATTTCCATTCTTGTTTGTTAGTTTAGAAATCTTTCACATTAAACCTGAATTAGGTGGACTTCGGTCATTAATCGGGTCTGGACATGATTTTCTGTCCGTTAGGTTTTGAAGTCTGTAGTCGATATGGAAATGGGCTCTAATGAACCTTATGCCGAAATTGAACTCCATGAAATTGGATGGGCTTTATATTATGTCATTACTTAGGTTTATGAGTAGTTTGTAGTCATGCTTTCTTAAGTTGAGTCTTTCGTAATTCACTAGTTTCATTCTCAACAAACCCGGTATTCTTCCTTGGTTTTTCTCTCATCAATGCATTTCTTGTGTTACTAGAAAACCCATTAACCATTTTCTCCTTTCAAGATCTACAGATCTAAAAAATTGTACTGAATGGAGTCCTTTTTCAAAATCTTTTAATGAGTCTGTTGGACTTGTGATGCTAGCTAAGTAGCAAGTTAAATTTATCATTTAGTGCCTTAAATACTCCACAAAAGTAGATATTAAAGTTTGAATGTGATTCTCAATTCTGTTGGTTTTACCTAACTTCAGTATCTATGAACAAGGGATCCAAGTCTAGCAACAAACAATATGCTTCTATGTAGTGAATTTTGAAGGACTCTTGGAGTTGGATTTGGAAAATACAGATCCCTTCAAATACTATGTTCTTCTTCTGGGCTCCTGGTTGGGATAGGATCCGAACTGTTCATCTCTTTTTGAAGAAAGGCTTGACTTTCAACAATGTGCATAGTCTAATAGTCTATTTGGTGTGACACCTGAGTTGTCCGGTCATTTACTCATATGCTGCCCAATTACTTACATGATTTGAAGCCATTTCCTGAAACTTTCCTTAGACAGTGGGTGGTTCCTCAAAATTGTGTCAGAACTTTTTTCATGGAGGATGGGTGGATTCTCTGCTAAAGGGTAGATCCTCTATAGTCTATACCATTTCCCATCTTGTTGACAATGGGGATTGGCAGAGGTCTAACATTATTTGAATTTGAAAATATGTGGATTTCCCATGAATCCTTCAAACCAAATGTGATTTCTTGGTGGGAAAGGAAGGAGCTGAAAATTTGGACCATTCAAACATTTAGAAGAATTGATGTCAACAAAGTTCAATCTTACTTATAGGAGATTGATATAATTGACAAATTGGAATTGGATTAGGGTGTCTCTATCTCAGAGGTAGACAATGAAAGAAGGTTTAAAATGAGGATGGAGACAAAAATCTAGGCACAGATGATTTAAGGAAGGGGATGGAAATACAAAATTTTTCCATCGGATGGAAAATGGGAGGAGACATAAGAATTATATTTGGTGTTTAGTGGAGGAGGGGAGAGAAATCCTAGACCAAGATGAAATTGGGGAGGTTCTTATCTCACACTTTAAAAGATTGTTAGCTCCCAATGTGAGAAGGCATCCTATGGTGGGGGGGTTTAATTTGGGGCAGATTGCCTGATTTTGAAATGAGGATGCTAGAAGAGCCTTTTTCCAAAGAGGAGGTAAGAAGAGCAGTGATGGGAATGGGGACAAAGCGCTGAGGCCCAATGGTTTCTCTATGGTCTTCTTTCAGGAGTGCTAGGAGATTATTAAATTTGATCTAATGGGGAAAAATAGGAAAGGGAATGAATGCAACCTTCATATCCTTGATTCGAAAAATGCTCCAGCCTAGCTTCCCCTAATGAATTTAGGTCAATTAGCCTTAGAATAAGTATCTATAAGATAATTGCCAAGGTTCTACCAGTGAGGCTTAAAGAGGTGTTCCATTTGCTGGTTTCAAAAGAGCAAGGGTCCTTTGTGAAGAATCGTCGAATTTTGGATCAACGTCTTATAGCCAATGAAGCAATTGAGGATATGGGGACATCATGGAAGAAAGACTTTGTTTACAAATTAGATTTAGAGAAAGCCTATGACCATGTTGATTGGGAGTGACTAAAATGGATTATATTGAGAATGGATTTTGGAAGAAAATGGGTTGGTTGGATCATGGGGTGTCTACCCATTTCTCTATTCTAGTGAATGGGGTTTCTAAAGGTTTTCTTAGGGTCACAAGAGGTCTCAGACAAGGAGACCCTCTTTCTCCCGTGTTGTTCATTCTTGTGGTTGAGTTGTTGGGTAGGTTGTTGAGGAGAGATGATGAGAGAGGTATCTTTAGAGGCTTTAGGGTGGGTAGGGAGTGGCAGGTGGTGTCCCACTTACAATTCGTAGATGATACTATTATTTTTGGGGAGTATAGAAGCACTCAGACCAAGTTAACTTGAGAAGGATTCTAGAGGTTGTTGAAGGAGTGTTAGGGCTAAATGTTAAATAGTCTAAATGTAATTTAGTGGGGGATTAATCTCAAACAAAGTGATGTAGAGGAGCTCGCTAGTGTCTTGGGTTGCAAGGTTAAGCATTGGCCAATCAAATACCTTGGTTTGCCTTTGGGGAGTACACCTAGGGATGTGTCTTTTTTGGGAAGAGGTCATTGAAAGGTTCACCAAAAAATCGGCTAGTTGGAAGAAGAATTATATTCATTGTTTTAAAAGGCGCGCCTAGGCACACAGGTAAGGTGCATTTTAGGGTATGCGCCTCACCCAAGTCCTAGGTGCACCCTTGCGCCTCAGCCCAGGCGTGCGCCTTTTTAAAATTCTGCACTTTTTGCTTTTTTTGAGCCTAATGGCTGGACTAGGGGCTCTGCCCCCGGACCCCCGACCACACCCCTCAAGGCAAGCCCGATCAAATCCATGTTAGGGTCTTAAATTCTTATTCCTTACATAAAAAATAGGCAAATCCTATTTGCTAATCTTGTTCATTCATTCATTCCAATAAAATATCTTCTTAAAAGGCAATTAAAGATATAAAATCATTATTTTTTTATGTAAGGAATAAGAATTTAAGACCCTAACATGTATTTGATCGGGCTTGCCTCGAGGGGCGTGGTACAAAGACGACTCATAGAATCAGGAATGCAATATGTTTTACATTACATTAGCTACTTGAAGTAATGCAATTGAAGAAAAAAAAGAGATTGTGGGTTTTACATGCTTGAAAATGTTTTATATGTTTGCTTTTATTTTTAAATTTTCATTTGAATATACTTTACATGTTATGTTTATGTATTTTTATTTTAGATAATAGGTTTTTTAAAACAATTATTTTAAAATTTAAGTTTATATTTTTTTTATTAACATTATGCTTAATATTGTTTTTTGAATTTTTTGAAATTTTATTTTTTTTGGTATTTTTTGAATTTTCTGACTTTTTTTTTGAGTTTTTAGTTTTTTTTTTTTAATTTTTGTGCCTTGCGCCTTTAAAACATTGATTATATTTCAAGGGGTGGAAGGATGACTCTAATCAAGTCTAGGGGTGGCAACGAGCCGAGCTTTTCACGAGCTACTCGAGCTCGGCTTGACTCGGTTTCAATCGAGCTCGAGCTCAATTCAGTGGCTCGATTAATAAATGTGCCAAGCTCGAGCCTACTAGAGCTCAGCTCGTAAGGCTCGCGAGCTGGCTCGAATATATATAATATATATAATAAAATTATAGAAAATAATATATATAATAAAAATATTATAATTATTAATTATTATAATTCTTAATTTTTAAATATAAAATAAATTTTTTATATATAATTTTTATCTTTATAAAATATTTTTATAGTAAAATATTTATAAAATATATAATAAATATTTTTATAATATATAAAATGAGTCGAGCCGAGCTGAGCTCGAATTTTTGAACTTTTGACTCGAGCCGAGCTTGAGCCTTATAGAATGGTCTCGAGTCGAGCTCGAGCCTGGTACTATTCGGCTCGGCTCGACTCGAATCCACCCCTAATCAAGTCCACTTTTTCCAATCTCCTGGTGTATTTTTTCGCTTTAGTTAAAACTCTTGCAAGGGTCACTTTGAGAGTATAAAAAATCATTAGGGGTTTTCTTTGGGATCTAGGTGATGAGCAAAAAAAATCACTTGACAAACTGGAAAAATGTTTCAAAAAGCAAGGAGCTAGGTGGATTGGGAATTTGGGATTAGGAAAGATGAAGGAGAAAAATATTGCCTTACTGGGAAAGTGGTTATGGAGGCTTCCTATGGAGAGTGACACTTTAACTTATCAAAAGAAAAGGAGAGTGACTCTTTGTGGCGTTCAGTGATTAGGAGCATCTATGGCGTGGACCCCAGTGGGAGGGACCCAGAAATCTAAGTCTAAGCTGTCCTTGAAAAGCTATTATGACCATACTGCCTACTTTCTCTCGATTTATCAGATATGACCCACAAGTGGGGAACAAGGTGTTATTTTGGGAAGATCTCTGGTGGGGAGAGGTTGCTTTTGAATTCAGTATCCATGGCTTTACAACATTTCTATGAAGAAACACAAACCCATTTCAGATATGTTTTCTGTTGACCAAGGCACCTCCTCTTGGAACTTAGGTTTTAGGAGGGGTTTGTTTGAGAGAGAGTTGGAAGGTTCTGTTGGCCTAATTTCCAACTTGAGTAGTGAAGTGTCTTCCATTTCTTTCAATGGTTCATATGAGAGGGTTTGGATGCCCAGCTCCTTGGGTGTTTTCTCAGTGTCTTTTTTTGTTGGTCCTTGATCTTGCTACCAATCTGCTCCCCTCGGCCCAAAGTTGAGTTTTTCTGCTGGGAAAATACTGGTGCTTGTCCCCTCATGTGTGCATTCTTTGTCTCAAGAGTGGAGAAAGCCCCAATCATCTTTTTCTCTCTTGCCCCTTCTCTTGTAGAATTTGGAATCATTTCTTTTCTTTATTTGGCAAGAGGTGGAATGCCCCACAAAGCATCTTGGAGTTATCTTCACAAGATTTATTGTGTTGCTATACAAAGAGAATGAAGATGCTTTGGCATTGCTTAAGAGTAGCAATTTATAGTGTATTTGGGGGGAGAGAAATGCAAGATTGTTCGAAAACAAAGAAACTAATGTAGAAATTCTACTGAGTTAATTGAAATCAAAGTTGCTCATTGGGTATTGGCATGTGAAGAATTTCGTGGGATAAACATGGATGATATTCTTAGAGGGTGTCAGGTAATGGCTAATGTTGCTGCACCTAGACTGCTTAGAGAAGCTATTTGGAAACCTCTGGAAGCAGTCACACTCAAATTTAATTTTGATGAATGCTCTTTAGGCAATCCTGGTGAGTCCAGTGTGGGAAGTGTACTAAGGGACCAAGGTGGTAACATCATGCTGAGCTTCTCAGGTGGGATTGTTATCTGTAACTTTTTGACAGTGAAGTTGATGGCCCTGCTTCAAGGCCTTAAATTGCTCAACAGCTCAAGTCACGAGCTGGAGGGATGTACTAATTAAAGGAGACTGTAAAGTGGTCATTACTTAGCTATTTTTCTTTTGAGCAAAAACAACTGAGAATTTATTCAAAAAAGAGGTGCACGAGAAGATGTAAATCAAGAAGCAATACCAAAGAAAGCAAAAAGAAATTACAGAGGCAGAGATCTATCACCAAACACAAATCCTCTATGTGCACCAGTTTTAGCTAGGCCATCTGCTAGAGTGTTTTGTTCCCTGGGGATCCAAACCAGCTTCACATTCATTGAGCCCATGATGTCGCTAACCTCTGCCAGAAAATGAGTCAACCTCCAAGGTTCACTATCTTTTTCCCCTAGCCATTTTATAGTATTAGCAGAATTGCCCTCAACGTCTAGAGAGGATAAACCTAACACTCTAGCACATCGAAGCCCATTGAGTGCCACCAAAATCTCAGCCTTCATAGAGTCAGCATTTCCTATTGGACCAGTGAAAATCCAACATATATTCCCATCTCTACCCCAGATTACACCTCCAATCTCCGTTTTACCTGTGTTTCCTTGGGCACTCTCATCAAAACTTAATCTCGTCACCCCCTCCTCGAAGTGAAATGGATATGTGCAGCACAACCAGGGGAAGAGTAGAGGGCTTTCGCTAAATTTCTTTGGAGATCATTCAAAGAGACACCGATAAGCTCTCCTGAATTAACTGCCCAAAGGTTACAAAGAAAAGTGATAAGGAGATCAGATCTTCCACTGTTCTGGCTTTGTTCTCAAAGATCCTATTATTTCTTTCCTCCCACACACCCCACATAACTGCCTGAACCACTATACTCCAATACACCTTGCCTCTACTTCCTAAACCTCTACCTTGCCATTGCCAAATAAACTCTACTGCCTGCTTAGGGAACACCCAGCTGAATCCAACTAACCTGAGGAAGTGACACTAATCTTCCTGGTTATGGAACAATGCAGTAGAAGGTGCTCAGCCGAGTCATCATCACTTAGACACAGAGTGCAAACATGAGGAGAAGTACACCATCTACCTTTGTTCTTTTGCAGCAGCTCACAGGTGTTTATTTTCTTTAGATATGCCTCCCACACACAAAAAAAAGAAACTTTAGGAGGGATATGGAAACACCACAGTTTCTTATACGGGAAGCTAGTTTCAAGATCATTTGACACTAAGGCCTTGAAAAAGGAATTAGTTGAAAACTTTTCAGCAGGGTTAAGTGTCCAAACCCATTGATCGGGGGTATTAGGAAATAAGTAAACCTCTCTAAGGGAGTGTAACAAGTTTGCAATTTTGGAAATATCTACTTCCTCAAGGGCCTTCTGAGATTTAGATTCCAATTATTTTCCGTGGTTGAAGGGGTAAGACATGAGGATACCTTGGCTAAATTCTGAAGAGGACCTTCCTTGGAGGTTCAGATTTTTGGTTAGGGAAGCATTCCTGGGCAGAAGTTTAAACTGCTCATTCAAGTGGACTCCCAGATATGCTAATTCCCTAGTTGTTCTTTGGCCAGAGCAGGAGATCTAGACAAGGTTGTGACTGGGGTATGACAGGTCCTGGGGCTCTGCTGTAACAAGGCTATCTATGTTTATTTTAAGCATTTGCTGTTTTGTGTATTGATCCTGATGCCTTCTTGGGCACTTCAGGTTTTCCTTTTTGATCTTTAATAAAATCTGTTATTTTTTTATCAAAAAAAGGGTAGATCCTCTGGAATCAGTTGCCTTTTGTTATTTGTTTGACTGTCTGGAATGAAAGGAGCAGCAGGGTCTTTCAGGGGAAGACTTCTTTTTGGAGTTCATTTATAAAGTTGAGGCTAGGGTCTTACATCAATTATTTGGAGTTACAACTGATGGTTCTAGGGATGAGTAGGCTTCTATTAGTTTTTGATGCCCCCCCCCCCCAAAAAAAAAAAAAAGAAAAAGAAAAAAGAGAAAGGAAGAAATTAAAATACAAGAGCATCAAACTATCATGGGTTTTTGCCCTCCATTGTGGTTGGTCTCTCCCTACCCCTTCTCTGAAGATTTTCCTATTGAAGAACACTGTTGGAGAAGTGCATGAAAGTTTTGTGGACTGAGACATTGAAATTTTTGGGACAACCATCCTATGAATACTTGTGGTTCAACTATCTTTTGAATTGTGTTTAAAGCCCCTGTCATTTAAATTCTGTGTTATGTAGGTTTGCTTTTCTGTAAGAGCTAATTGATGGCTCCATAAAAGATGGCTGATAAAAAATGGTTTCACCAAAGATGAAACTGTCCTGTACATGGGTTGAAGTGAGAAAGATCTGAGGTTCCTAATTTAACAGAGCCTATATATAATGGTGAGGCCGTATTTATTATAGATGACCCAAACAGTTAGAACGAGGCTTTGTCAGGTTAAGTTCTATGCTTTGATGATGACTTGTCTAGGTTCAATTCAAAATTCAAATAACCACTCTGTTAGCCTAAGTGATTCTAAATATTCTGAGATATTGAGGGGAATAATAGTGATATATGTCAACATTGAAGTATTTAAGGAATTCATCAACTGATAGTTTGATTTTTGAGAAAAACTAGGAGGCAGGCCAGGCAAATTATCCAATAAACCTTTCTGCCTGCTAATGGTCCTCGATTTTATGGAAGGGTATCCTGTTCGAGGAGTTTGATTCAAATTTCCATCAAAAGTAATAGTGAAAGGCTATGCTACCATACACACAAAGGACATGGTTCAATATGCTACCAGATACAGAATTTAGACTGAAAATTGAATTATGATACACAACATGGCAGTGTTGTACAGGTATAGATATCATAGGTGGAGGCCAATATAATTTTGCCATAACAAAGCACTATACTGGCAATATGGGTTGTTTCAACAGCAGCATGCCATTTCTTTATTTTTTTTTAGTATTTACTAGTACTTTGTTATTAGAAATAGAAATTTAAGAAGAGGACAAATTCTAGGTACTCTCTCTCTCTCCACCCCATTCCACAAAAAACATTTGCTAAATGTATAGTAGACTAGTAGTAGTGTAGCACATGGACTACCTGGAGTGGGAAGATGGTTGATCTTTGAAAGAAAAAGAAACAAAATTTATTTCTCTACTGAGATATATTATATCATTTCACACCTAACAAAGATAAAAAGAACAAAAGAAATGGTAGAGGTTCCCCAACTTTCAACATGCATATATCTTTTTAATGGACATATTTTTTCTAAAAAAAAGTCTTCTTCTTATCATAAGGGTTATTTTTCATGTTGATTTAGAACCATGAACTAAAAATAAGGAAGAAGAGAGAGAGAGAGATAGTAGAGTAAAAAAAGGATGACCATGATGCTGATTGAAGTAAACCAAAATAAAGAAGAGCACAAAATAGCAAGGGTAGTGCAAGAAGGAATTTTTCACTCTTCCTGCATATGTTGCCCATCGAGGCGAATGTTCAAACTTGTCATGTTATCCATATTTCAACACACCAAGAAATTAAGAATACTTGTACCTATGTGGTTAGTATAGAGTACATAAAAATAAAAATGAAAAGAGAAACATGAAAGGGTTTTTTGTACAAATACATTGGTTTATGGGGCATAGAGGGAGGGAGGGAGGTTTAAGTGTTAAGAAAATATCAGAATTTTTAAAATCAGCTTATTGGATGGGTACTCATCTGCCTGAGCATTTTGATTCCTACTGTTTTCTGTTTTGTTCCTACATCTAAAAATCAAAATGCATTGTCGGGTATCTTATGATGGGGTTTTCTGTAGCTGGATATACATTGGCATTTGGCACTAAGCCACTAACATAGGCTTCAGAAAGCATTAATTGTAACTTTGTAAGATTGTCTTCAGATTCTGTTGATTTTTGAAGGTGTCTTCTGTTTTCAGTGTAATATTTTGCGAGGCTGTTGCTATTTATGGTGTCATTGTGGCAATCATTTTGCAAACAAAGCTAGAGAGTGTTCCAGCATCCAAGATGTATGCACCAGAGTCTCTTAGAGCCGGATATGCAATTTTTGCCTCAGGCATTATTGTCGGCTTTGCAAACCTTGTTTGTGGGTATGTAGTCAGCCTTCAATAGCTTCATTCAATCAGGAATTCTAGGACAGTCATGCTGGTAAGCTAATACATTGTCTTCTCTTCTTTTAACAGGTTGTGTGTAGGAATAATTGGAAGCAGTTGTGCATTGTCTGATGCTCAGAACTCCTCACTTTTTGTGAAAATTCTTGTTATCGAGATCTTTGGTAGTGCTCTTGGGTTGTTCGGTGTGATTGTGGGGATAATCATGTCAGCTCAGGCAACATGGCCAGCAAAGACGGCATGAGCAGCCATGGTTGGTGCTTCCAGACAGAGAACCTGGCCTTTTTATTTTTTTTCTTCAGAGCACAAATTCTTATATTGTATCTGGAATAGATTAGGCTCAAGTATAAATGCTTATAATACTTAACGGGCCGACTCCTAAACTATGTGCTTATGCTAGTGAGTGGTGAAGCAGCAGGCATATGTAAGATCTGGTTTACCCTTTATTTTAGGAACCCGCCATTGCTTTTGCTTTTGACTTTTACATTATGGTAAAAGTTGATTCATTTCAATATGCTCACATCTTGAGTACTCGTGTCATTAATAAGTTATTAGAGGACCGAAAGATGCATTATCCAAGCTCACTCTGGATCAGAAACTGCGTGGGTTTGCTATTTGCTTGTTAATTTGAGGTTAATATCGTGATTGCTTTCACACGAGGAAGACAGCCCTATCTGTAGGGTTTGAGAGACGCAAGCTTGCGTTACAGGGTTACTTACACCAATAATAAGTAGACAAAGCAAATAGCAAGCGATGAGTCAATCTGTCACTGTTATCAATCAAGCCCCATAGCCCATAGGTGCATCCACGAGAGGGAGAGAGGGCTTAATTCATTCATAGACGGAAACAAACGATGAGTCAATCTGCTCCATGGAAACATTATGTGTTTCAGTGTAATGAACTGCTTGTGCTCTTATTCTCAACAAAGAAAACCAGGGGATTTTTGAAGAGAGCCATTTCACCAAGGTTGGTAGGAAATGGGATCAAACCCATGTTTTCTGATCTGATGTGAGATAATAATAGACGTCCTAGTCTACCAGGAGCAGGAGGAGGTTTAGCCGTTTGGGAGATCTATTATGATTAGCTAATGCAAGGACCAAGACGGTGGGCGTCATTCTGCTTGTTCGCTGATGGAGTCTAGTAAAGTTTGGTCCCACTTTGCGACATGTTTGATTGAACCATTGTTGGTCTGACCGGCGCCCAGCCTAACTGAACAAGTGGCTGTGAGCCAAAAGAGTGAAAGACACAGGAAAATCTCCATACATCTCTCTCTCTCTCTCTCTCTCTCAGCAAATCATGATGAACCCAGAAAATGCATTTTCGAAATGTTTGTTTCACTTTCCAAAACACATGATAACAAGTGATTCTAAGTATGAACAGCCATGCCATGTCATTCAAATTAGCAAAAGGAATTTACTTTAAAATCACTACCAAATATAGTTTGTGTTAAAAAAAAAAAGAGGACAGCCTATGGGCTCTGATCATCCTCATTTCTAGTCCCAGGCCCATATAAGTGATATAACAATCCCAAAGGCCCAAACCTCTTCTGCTAAACTCATCCACATCCCAAATACCTCAGTCATTTCTGTTAATGACATCCATGCATGAAATGAAGGTCAACAACACTCCACTAACATGACCTGGGCGCAGGGCCGTCTTTAGATCATCAGCACCACTCACCATAGCAGAGGCGAGATATCCAGGGACTAAGGCATCAATCATGGAGCTCTTCTTTTCGAGCCATTTTGTATTCAGGATATCTTCTTCAAACTCCAATCAAAATGCTGACCCGTTAACCGGACGGAAGCATGCTTTGCTTGCTATCAACTGTATGAAAATTGGTCGAAACGTTTTGGTCTTTGAAGTTGAGGGTTCTGGGTGTGGGTGTTGTTATGACTCATGTGTTCGTTATCTTTGTTTTCCCTCCGTATGTTACTTCTTCTCAACTTCCACCCAAAAGGCTGTAAGATTAACCAAGAAAGAGTGTCTGCTCTATCTCCAAAACTGCAAGTCCGTGAAAGAGCTGAAACAAATTCAATCCCACATCTTTAGAATTGGTCTTCATCAAAACAGGTCTCCCATACTTTCCATACTTCCATGCTACAACTCTTTCCATACTTTCAAGCTACAACTCCACTACCAGTATTCTTCTTTCTCTTCTTCTTTAGATGAGAAGCCAGAGGCAGTAGCCCTCTGCCCTTCCCCCAAACCCCCTCAATCCCAGTAAAGGTGGGATTCCATTTCAGGTCTCCCCTATAATCAGTACGAGGCTTTACCCGCAATCTGGCTGGTACCTTGAATCACACTCCCATTTGCTCTCATGGAGAAGTTCAAATTGGTCTTAACTTTGTACCGACAAAGATAGAGGTTAATCAATCTCATATAATATCTTTGTTTTTTTTTTTTTTTTTTTTTTAAATTAGAATGCATTACTTAAATTTTTCCTCTATGGGGCGGTTTTTGGGATTTTGAGAGGGGGAAAGTTGGTCAATGAAATTGTGAATCCCATTAACCAAGAAACCAATGTTCTTTTTTCTGATTTATGCGGGGACCGGGGAAAGTTTATTTTCCTGGGTATCATTTACTTGGGTAAGTGATGCCCATCTCCTAGGTGGGTAAATTAACTTTTCCATCTTGAGAAAGTTGCCAGCACTTGAATGGGACAAAAATGCCCATTTTGATCATGGATTTTTTATGACTAAAATTAGGGTTGTTCATAAGAAGGCCCAACCCGACCAAATTGACCAACCCGGACCGACCCAACCCAAGTCGTCCGGGTTTTCATCAGCACGGGTCGGTTTCGGGTTGTGCAAATTCTTAAACCGATGATTCGGGTCGGTTTCAGTTTTCACACAAGAAAACCAAAACCAACCCGAACCGAACCGACTTAGTTCCTAGTTCAAACATGAAGTTCCAAAGCCCATTAGGCCACCTAGTTTTTGAATGGTTGCAAGAAACTTTGGATTAGTGAATAGTGATTAATGAACAACTTTTGTGATTAACTTTTCATTTAAATTTTATCATGGGAGATGGTTGAAATGATGTTCAATTTATGACTGTTTTTAAAATTAGCAAGATTTTATCACAGTGATGAACTTAGAACCGAAACCGACCCAACCCGACTCAAATCGACCAGGTCGGTTTCGGTTTCTATGTCAGGTAACCCGACCAGGTCGGGTCGGTTGGAAAAACCACAATAAACTGACTCAATCCGACCCATGAACAGCCCTAAATAAAATGCTCATTATATCATTTATTTGAAAAATAAAAGAACATGGATAGGTAAATAACTTACTGAAGAGCGAACGGGGCGTATATATATCTTTTTTAAATTGATTGAAACTTTCCTTGCTTTTCAGAAGCAGGTCTAAACATTCCTTATACATATGTTTGTTTTTTGTTGATGAATATATTACATATGGTTGTCTAGGACAAACTTCTTTCCTTTGATATCTGCCACATTAGTTAATTGAATGGCATAACATGATTCTTGCAAAGTTCCATAAATTCAAAAATACTCTTCTATTGCAAACTTATATGTGATTGATACCAAGATGTCCTCCTTTCAGTTGAGGTTTTCTTTTTGGTGATTTTGGTAAATAAGGTCTTTTTTATAAATAAGCTACAGAGTTGACATTTCATACACAAGGTTACTTTGGGAACTTAAAATTTTATAGAAACATCTTTCATCATTTAATGAAAGGGTTTTTATGTTAATAACATATTTCTTTGTGTTTCTGTAAAATGGGATGTCTAAACCTGTTTCTGGAAAACATTAAACATGAAAATTTAGCCCAATATAAAAGGTACAAGGAAAATTTAAGTAATTTTCCCTTTATGTTTTAATGGAAATTTTGTGATAGGAGATATTTAATCGAAAAAATAGTGGAAATTCCATCCCATTTTCATGAGTGCAAAGAAGGCTTTAAGTAATTTTCCCTATTAACTATTTCAAAGCAAATGGGATACAGAACCTCCGAATGGATGGTCCAACCCCTTTACCCCAAATCCTCCAATCCTAACAAAAGGCAGGAAATTAATCCCAACTTTTGAGCAGGAGATGTGGCTATAGACTAGTGGCTGGATATAGTTGGTCTAGCCCATGCATCGGCTCCCTACTACATTCCTTTTTCATGGATGAAAGAATAAAGTTGGGGTGGCAGCCAGTTGCCAGGTCCAACCTATTATTTGGGGCTTAGCGCTTGGTGTGGGGATTGGGGATTTGGGTTTGTATACCATATTATAGCCCATGCGCACCTATAAGTTTGTTCAAGTTTGGGATGAGCTGGGCCAGGCATAGCAATAAATCATTTACTTTTCAAGTGCTCAACAACTAGACATGCATGTATGGAAATTTCATAATTACTTACGAAATGTTGGTTGAATAACATGATTTCAAAAGAATAAGGGATGTTCACATTAAATGTCAAATCGATCAAATCGGCTTTATCCAATTCGAGTTAGTCATACGAAAACCAAAACCGAATCAATCCTATATTTTCGGTAATTATTAATTAGTCCCTATCCTTGTTTAAATTTTGAAAAAAACTGGTTATTTATGATAAAAACTAAAAACGTAAAATCAATACAAATATAATAAAATGGTACAATATTTAATTCAGTATTGTATAAATTTAAATATATATTGACAAAAAAATCAGTTTTGCATAAAAAACTATTTGATTTAAATATATATTTTGGTTTTGCATAAAAACTAAAAACAAATACAATTAAATATAAATAGATATTTTAGTTTAATATATATACCAATAAATCGACCCAAACCAACCTTTCATGTTTAGGTCGGTTTTGCTTCAGACTCAATTGGTTTCGGTTTAGTCAATAAGTAAACCGATTAAGTCGGGTCAGTTGAAAAAAATGCCTCAGACCAATCCAACCAGACCCGTGAACACCCCTAAAAAGAATCCTTAGGAATGGATGAGATCATAATGAGAAAATTCCGTGCCAAAAAAAAAGTGGTTATCGTTCTTTTGTAAGGAAATGTGATGGACAAATATCTAGTAATAAAAAGCTTAATATATCCTTATTTGATTATTGACAGAGTATACTAGGTTGTCTTGCATTATTCACATTGAATGTGATTCTAAAATAAGCCTCCATGAAGTTGGTCGAAAAATTAAAGCCCATAAAATAGAAAATCAAATCATTAATATCAGATGCTCTCAATATAGCTGAAAGCCTGGCACCAATACCAAACAAAACATTGTTAAAATTGAGCTTGAGAAAGCGAAATTTTGCAAAATCACTTATTTTGACTACTAAAATAAAGTGAAAGAATTTATTAGGAATTATGCTTGTTTCAATATGAAAAAAGAGGCTTCAACTTTATTGAATATTAGTAGTGGAAAGTAGATTCTTTGAAATAAAATGGGGGAACAAACACTACTTGCAATGAAGTTATTACATCATATTTTTTGAGTACAAGATCAACAAGAAAGGCCAGATCCCGGCATTTCATTTTCAAGAAATAAAACTTTTATTTATCACATAAAGAAAAAA